CTGTATATATGTATATATATGTACGTACGCATGTAAATGTAGGGCGTGTTCGACCTCTGGAATATACGTGCGTCAGAAATATTGATAAATTTTTTGAGACTTCAAACCAAATTAAGAGAGGGCATGTTACAATAATAAAAGCCAATAGGTTTAGTCTAATTTTACTGATAGTCAAATCTCACGAATATATGTAAAATACAACCATCGAGGACTATGTTTGAAGGCTCTTCATAAGCATACTAGTCCAAGTATGGAATCTCTTTGAATAGATAGAGACGCATTGAGACCGAACATTGCTTGTGTATATATTTTATTTTGTTCAAATATATTTACTCGACCTGGCATCCCATGGAATTAGTCACTTGCGTAGCAACCGGGATATGTATGAAGGCTCGTCATAAGGAGTATATCAGCTCTTTCAATCCATACCGCGCAAAAGTTCAACCGCAAAGATACACTGGTTTATTTGTGCTAGATATTCTCCACCTTATTTTCCGTCGAATCAGTCACTTATACTGGAGATACAACCGACACGTGTTAAATGGCTCGTAACAATGAAATAGTTCAGTTCACAATAAAGCCAAATAGTTCTCAAATTTTCATTTGTTGGTATAGACTTTTAGAGTCTTAGACCGAAGTTGAGTTGAGTTAAATATTGAATTGTTTCAAATACACGCAGCGTGACAGGTCTACTTTGTCCGATAACGAAACAAACAATTGAAGTATCGTATTTCAATGTTCTCCCTATTTTTCAGTCGCACTTTACGCAATACTCTTTCTACATATGAATGGATGCTGCGATATAAATAAAACATGCCCCTCTGGCAGGAAGCATAGAATACAAAGTGTGATGGTAATGATCAGCCTAATAGTGACGACTGACGACTGACGCATGCAAATACAACATTAGCATCGCATCCATAATGACGTATATATTTACTTGCATCACTTGGGTTACAATTACCCTACAGCATTATCTATGGCATTTTTATTCTATTAATAGAACCAACCTTGAGGTACAGTATAAAATTATAATACACCAAAGCCGGTATATTTTATTACAATCTATAATCAATCGCGTAAATCGATTATACAGATTTGTAAAATAACTGTGTAACATACGGTATTATTATATACGGCCTTAATAGTACTATTCGGGATATGCTTACCTTGTTTTAGTGAGGCAGTGGGAAGCACTGCTGAGGCTCTTAGACCTTAGACCAGTTATCAAACCATCTAATAGTAGTGTTTTTTTTGGGTACTATTACGGTAGATAAACCTCGTCTTAACATCCCCTTTTGACAAATCCAATATATTTGTCATTTATATTGTTTTATACATACAAACATGGAACGGGAAGCCAGTACATCCCCCTTACCGGGCATGGGGATCAACAGACAAGTCAGGGCCGATGTGCCAGCAACCAATGCATGCTTCGATACAGCTGTACCCCCTCCGGCCAAAAGACACACATCTGTGCCACACATTTCATCACAATCATCGCTGCCACACGCACATTCGCACCACAACTCGCTGCCCTCGATGCATAGAGGGTCACACAGTAGTATCCACGGCGTTAGTAAACAAGCCGGAGGGAGTGGACATGAAGGTAAAGCAGCCAATGTGCATAAGGATGGAGGTGTTGGACATGGAGCTCGAGTATCAGGTGCACATAGGGCTGGAATATCTGATTCCCAATCCCAGACCAGACCGCCTGCGATAGCACTCAGCGCAGGAGACGCACACCAGGCCCCGGGAAAAAGTGGTGTTCAAAAGGGTCCAATGGAGGCAAAGACTTCTGGAGGCGATGATATGGACACAGAAGTTCCTCTCACTACGGTTAGTGTGCCGAATGTGCCTTTGGTAGAAGCCAGCGCTGCGCAGGCGGTAGCAAATACATCTACACCAGAGCCAATGCAAGTAGGTACTTTAGATGCTTCTGGTACGTCTCTGGGAGTTATGGGGGGTTCAACAGATACATTGGAGTTGGAATCAGGTGCAAGTGTAGGCAGTCATCCGAGGATAGTAGCACCGTCGCCTATACCTGCAACACCCAGGAGCACATCAAATGCACTCTCGACTATGACTATTCAGCAAAGCAACAGTCCGAGTCCCATAGGCCTTATGGATGTGTTCACACGTCCACACCTGTCTACTGAATGGGAGACTATTCCGGATAGGGTGAAAAGCCCGCCCGCCGTAGAGATAACCCCGTCGCCGTATGTCAGGGGCACGGAGACAGTACAACCACCCACTTCGGTAGAGAAAAAGGATATGAGTGCTGACTCGCTGGGGTCGCCTTCATCGGCGAGTGCTTTAAATAACCGCAAGCGGTCACTGTCGGTGGCTATAGCCGAGCCGCCGATTGACTCGCCCACCCCTACGCAGAAGATGAAGATTGATATGCAAATGGTTGATTCTGTGGGTTCTCCAGAGAGCTCGCCCGGTATGGTATTTGTTGTGTTGGGTGGGATAGTTTTAACTACTGGATATTAGTAGTACTTGAGACTGTCTAAGGCCACTGAAGGCTGTACACGCTTTCTATCTGTGTTTCCTTGTTGCTCATATTTAAGCTACACTGGTGATCAGTACATGTGTTATTCAATTATGATGGAAGCAATGCGTCACGCGCGATCGTTCTTGAGGTATAACTATTTGTACACCGAATTCGGAGTAACATATCTTCTCATTTGGTTCATGTATGTATATGTATTTATGTATGTATGTATATATGTATATATATATATATATATATATATATATATATATATATATACTATATATATATATATA